TATGCTCCAGCCTCCTTTCCTGAGTGCGGCCCCACAGCTACCTCTCCATGCCCAGAAGGACATCATAAATCATTTATAATTTATGAGGAGCGCAGTCCTGTACTACACCCTGCTAGCTGCTGGTGTTTGTCGTCTACACACTGTGAGCTTCCTTCTTCGGTGCATACAGAGACCTTTTTCAGATCATCCATAGGACAGAGAGTTGAGATGTTTTTCCCTATGATTGGCCCAGCCAAGAATTACGGAGGGAGAAGACAGAAGACGCTTGTCCCTCCAGATTTTGCCACAAGCCTCGCTTGCCTTCTCCCAAATTGAGGAGTGGGAAGGAGCAGAAACAAAACCGTTATCATTATTACCTTATTTTCTTTTATTTTATTCAACAAATACACATTTTTTTTTTTCAATGCCAGCAGCCCGCAAGTCAATGCTGGGGACACAGCAGTAAGCAAAACAGAATTTTGGTTCCCAATGAGATTATAGTTACACATGTTAGGAGGTGATGATGGGTTTTGTGGGGGAAAAAGAAAGTTGGGAAGGGGAATAGCCATTCTACATCAGGAGTTCAGGGAAGAGATTTCTACTAAGGTGACCTTTGAGCAGAGACTTGTAGGACATGGCAGAATGAGACTAGCAGGTGTCTGGGGAGATGGCCTCCTGGGAAGGACAGAGGCCACCGTGCAGGGGCCACTCCTCAGGGGAGAAGCAGCAGGGCCTGAAGGAATTGAAGTCATGAGCCAGAAGGAAGCAGTTGGGAGCCAGGCACGTGGGAGGAGGGACAGCCTAAGGGGGTGCGGTGAGTCCAGGGACTAATGGAAGTGAGATGGGCAGCCATGGGAAGTCTTTAGAAGATTACCAGAGTATAAGCATGAAGTCAGGAAAATGCTGGGCAGTGCTTCCTTCACTTCCTAGAGAGAATTCGAGTGTGTGCTATTGTTAGCAGAACTGAATTGTCAAAATATCAATCAGCCCAGTGTAGCGTGAATCAGAAATCATGGTTTTGCTTGATCTTGGTATAAAAAATCTCTTATGCTTTTCCAATTGGGATAAAAGTGAGAGACCATGAGCCATTTATTTACTCAACTGGTGATACTTTTTATGGAGACACCTTGGCTACTGTATTCAGCTATGACATTCAGCGATCTGTGCCCACTGGTGTCTTCCCTGGCCGTATTTTGTTTATGCTGTAGCTTATTGCATAGATTGGTGCATAGATTTTGGTGCATAGACTGGTGTGAGCTTCAAAGTCAAAGAGCAGCTGGTGGGATACGTGGGATCAGATTCAAGCAGGCTGCCATAACAGCAGGCTCTCGGTGCTGACGGCCAACTCGTGCTGTTTTCTGCTCGCAAACAACTGCCTCTAGTCTAGAGCCACAGAGAACTTGGGCTGGATTGACGCACGGAAGTTCCAGGCTGCGCAGTTTGACTCCTTCCCAGGAATACCTTCCTCAAAATGAGAGTGATCGATGCTGAAGCGGGCCACGCCTTAAAGTGAGCATCTTCCCTCTGAATGCTTTTAAGCAGGTGAGCACATCTCAGGAACGTTCTGAGACAGCCCCTGCTTTGTGCAGTGCGTTGAACTAGAATGACCTCGCAGATTCATTGCAATGCAAACCCCTCCAAGCCCATGAAAAAATGTCCAGTGAATGTGCTCTGCAAACATACAGACACTACATAAACAAGAGGCAAATATTTTAAAAGGTGAAGAATGAGATACTTGTACTGCCGTGAGAGCGGTGGTTGGAATTTTGTGCCCCGGCAACATGCTTTCCATGCCCAGTCGTCTGCAGTTTGTTCTCATTGGCCCCGTACACAGGTATCCGCATTATGTGTTACAAATGCTCTTAGCCAAAGACCAAACAAATAGCCAACGGCATTTTCCTATCAGAGCCTGTTTATAGGAGGTAGAGCAGAAGAACAAAGCTGTTGGTTTTGATTCTTGGCAGGAGGCCAAGGCTGCTGCTTCAAAGCTCCAGCGTTTACAAGGAAGAAAGAGGGAATTTTTAGTTTACAAGGAAGAAAGGGGGAATTTTTAGCTGAGACTAAATTAGAATTTAAGCAAGAGAAAACTCACAACTAAAACTAAAGAATCCTCCGGGATCCATAATGGAAAGGCAGAATAAGAAACCCAGTGTGTTCCAGGCTCTCGGAGGATTTTTTAGTGCAAGAATGAAAGTTTTTAAAAGGGCTCAAAGCGGAGATTACAGACAGCCTCGATTAATGCTATAGAATCACACAGCATTTGAGCTGGAGGCATTGTCCTTAGTGATTCTTAAATGTTGTCCCTTATTTTGTAGGAAATAGATTAGAGGCCCAGGAACTCAAAGAGACTGCCCAGGGTCACTCAACTAGTTGTAGGAATTCGAGGACTAGAATCCAGGACTCCTGGCAGCCATTTTGTGTTTTAGGCAATTTTAAAGAAGCCGCAAACAAGTAAAAAGTTTTGTTTCTTATGAGCAAAGGGCCGATGAGAAAGACAGGCACAGCGGTTGAATTCAGAATTGGAGTGCATTTGGTTTGCGAGAATGTGACCTGATCCCGGGGCCAGTGGCAGTTGCTACCTTCTTCCTGAAGCTTAGGGCAGAACAGCCGTGACTCTCTGGGCCTGTCCCCAGGAATGGAGGCCAAGACAACTGTTGGAGGGTCTGCAGCGTCCTGCCGCTCCTCAGAGCCCAGTCAAGCATGAATGAGTTTTTACAATCTTTAGGAGGCTACAGCGGTCATGGTCCTTCTAAACCACCTGCAAAAATCTCAGCGTGTTCCACCTGTCATTGTGAGTGTTCTTTGGCTTCTTGTGTTGATAAGGGTTCTCTCCTTTTTGGCGAGAGTCTGAACAAATTGAAACAGTATTTAAATAACAGCACTCTTTTTACATAAAAGAACACCCAGTAAAAAAACAACTTCTTGCCCGGTTAACTTCGTTCATCGAAATTACTAACCTTTAAGTGAGCTGTTACTTGCTTCTGGAAGGCACGGGAAGAATGGGGTGAGTGAGGACTCTCAAGGAAAGGAGGGAAGGCTTCTGTGTATGTCTCTTCTTTAACCCACGCGCTGTTCATTGTCATTCTTTTGACCATTTATTCATTCATTCATTCATTTTCCTGTTTGTTTCTATTTTGATTCTATCCAAAAAAGTTTGACAAAACTTACAGTAAAGAGCTTATATATTGTACGTAAAATATAAATCCAGTCAGGTTTTAGAGAAGGAGGGAATGGAGATTCCATCCATGAATTGTCATATGAAATCTGTGTTAAATACCCAGTTTTACTGTGATCTTTCTAGCAACCAGAATTTAAAAAGGAATACACAATTTCTAGTTATCAGACAGGAAAAAAATCCAGATTCTTCACTCTTGAACCTAAGTGTTGCTATTCTGCGGTGCATGCTATTAGCAAACACTGATGGAAGACTTCCATGCACTTAATACAAAGCTGGCTGCCCAGGGCGCATCCTCCCACCCTGTCTCTCATCAGTGTCCTTGCCTGAGGCCCTGGAGCCCCTGAGAAAACATGTTCTTAGTGTTATCAAAATGTCTTCTTAGTGTTATCACACGCTCCCTTTGGATGTGTCAGGGCCTGGTTCGGGGAAATGGCTTTAGCTGAAATGATGTTGTCTAGAGTAGTTACAGGATTTGCAGATTATGAGGCCAGGTGTAGGAATCAGGGAACATCAGAAATCTTCTGTCCTGCAGCTGCCTGTTCTCTACCAGTGTAGCTTTCCTGCTCTTCAAAGTGCCCTAGACTTCTTATCTGGCCCTTCTCTGCTGTGTCGAAGTACGTTTTTGAACAAACGGTCTGGAGGGAATAGAGTTCTGCAGAACACACCGGGAAACGTTGACTCAGGATTAGTAGATGACATGACCACGTGTTAATTTTATGCACCTTCTTAGCTCCTGAAAGTGAGGAATGGACCTCGTGGTTGCCTGGACGTATAGAGCACAGGATTTAATACTAGACACACTCAAGTGTAACACTACTGAGATTCTGCTCCAGAGCTCCCAAGCCTCAGTCTGAAGTTCTGCCCGGAATTTACATTTCTTCCAGAAGGAAGAATCAATATTAAGATGCCTGTGGCTTTACATGTCTGTAAGAACTGATTATTCTTTTTTTTAATTTTTCCTGAGATGAAATTTTGTTCTTGTCGCTCAGGCTGGAGTGCAGTGATGCCATCTTGGCTCACTGCAACCTCCGCCTCCTGGGTCAAGTGATTCTCCTGCCTCAGCCTCCCAAATAGCTGGGATTACAGGTGTCCACCACCATGCCCAGCTAATTTTTGTGTAGTTTTCCTAGAGATGGGGTTTCTCCATTGGCCAGGCTGGTCCTGAATTCCTGACCTCAGGTGATCCACCTGCCTTGGCCTTGGCTTCCCAAAGTGCTGGGATTACAGGCATGAGCCACCGCACCCGGCCAAAGAAAGATTATTCTTAACTGCCTCCTCCATCCTCCTAAGACCTGTGTATTGTCAGGTAGTAATATACCAGAACCCTCTAGAATTAGTGAGAATACAGGGGAAAGAGTTATAGACATATAATGCGTTGGGCTTTTGTAATAGATGGAGCAAGAGAGAAAACACTAGACAATAGTTTGTTTTCCTGACATTCAAATAGCTTACTCAGAATATTTACTGAATGTTTAGGTGTTTTTTTAAATGTAAGCCTACATATCATACACTGCATATCCATAGAATCATACATTTTAGAATGCAGCATTTCTAGCTTCAAAGTGAGAAGCAGCCTTTATGCTCTGTATACAGTTGGTGTGGAATCATATGTCTGTACACCAGGCCAAAGGTGGTCATTGGAAAGACCGGGCACAGCAGCTGGGCTTGCTCTTGTCATAGCCGTGTTGATTCAACTCCCATCATGTGTTTTGTTAAGCAACTAAGATGACTAGTTTGAGCCCTCATGTGAGCAGAATAATTGTGTTCAATTCTACTTGGAATGTTTTTCGAAATGATCTTAAGGAATGACTTGATTCTTACTTGTGCTTGTTCTTTTTAAAAGTATTAGAAAGGAAGATATCCACCCGACAAAGTAGAGAGGAGCTGATAAGAAGGGGAGTTCTTAAGGAATTGCCTGATCAAGGTGAGGAAATTATACATACGTTTTAAATATTTTGGTCCTTCCTTCTTTGGTCTTTCTTTTGTTTTCTTTTGAAATTTAAAATGACCATGAGCTTTGTAAGATGAAGCAGTGGCTGCTGCACTCCCAAGAGCCTTGCTTCCATGGCTAATGCCTTTGTGAGCTGCAGAGAATCTGAAGTATTAGAGAACTCTAGTGACTTTTCTGGTGAATCTGTCACCTTATGTCATTCTAAACCTAAAACTCTGCAAAGGTACATCTGAGGCCGATACAGATGAGATACAAATGCTTATGATGCATTCTCTTCTCTATTCTTGAGCTTCAGGATTTCTATTCACATTAAACTCATGCGTTTGAGTAAATGCTAAGTTTTAGCTTGGTTCATGCCATTTTGTTTCTTAAGACTACTGATGAAAGAGAAGAAAGAAGGCACACATACCTCTTGTCCTTTGCACTCTATAATAACACTGAAATATACAATCAATAAAGCATGAATAGGCAAACTAACCTAATCTGCTTTCTGCATTCTCTCAAGTAATTTTTCAGTATTGTTCTCCTTCCGTTTCTCTGATCTTTCACTAGCAATGAGTGTTTCTAATTTTTTCCTCTATCTCTGATCTTCTCTTTTTTTTTTTTTTTTTCTATCCTCCCAAGGAGGAACTTTGTTCAGAAAAGACAAGGATCAGATAGAAACCGGTATTGACCCTCAAAAGAAGACACTAACATTGGTTATTTCTCCAAATAAATACTACCTCAATTTAAAAATAAAAGACATTTTGTTACAACATTGTTGATTTATCTCATGCCTCCCTTCCCCTCACATTTACTGGGAGTAAAGTATTATTATTTTACTTTTATGGGAACAAATGAAATGCTATTAATTTAGAATTGAAATAATAGTACAGCTGTTTTCCTAATATATGTTCCTTGCAAAGGACTTAACATTTTTGGCATTCACTATTTATAAATCAAAATGACATGCTTTTTCCAGCATCTGAGTAATTCCAGAGTGGAGCTGAAAAATGCTTTACTGTTTTTCTCCTGATTGAAAGAAAATAGGAAACTCTGGAGTGAATAATACGATTTTCTTAAGCCCTTGTATTTTTTGGGCTGTCAAACTTTTCTTACTCTACTTTATGAATGAATTTTAGGTTTTCCCTATTTTTCTATTACCTTGAAGCTACTTATTTCCTGTTTGAGACTTTTAGAGTTAAAAATGCACATTTCTAAGTTTTTAAACTTGAAGGTAGGCTTGCAATATCAAAATTAATTTCCTGTCCAACGTCTTTGAAGGCAATAGAGAAATTATATACCCATTGAAACCTTAACACTGGGCCATCAGCTTTATGAGATGGGTCAATACATTTATTAGACATCATTTATTTAGAAATATTTTAAAGAAAGTAAAAAATGGAAAATTTTATGATTGAAACTGTTAATGAGTTTAAAGGTAGAGATTAAAAGCCCATCTTTTTTCTTAATTAAAATTTGTAGGTAGAAAAGGAATTCGCTCTTTCTAAAAAACAAGTAGCAATGGTCAATTTAAAGAAATGATTTTTATTCTGCCTAATCTGTGTAACTATTTGCCTCATAGATTCTAATTTCTTGAGCCGACATACACTTCTCAGAAATCTGACTCTCTTTGACCTTTTTATTTAACTTTTGCAGTGGAAACTAAAGTTTTTATAACATAAAAGAAGAAAGCAATTTTTTAACCTAAACATAATATAATTGGCTTAATGTTTGAGAAGTCATAAACTACTAGATTTTACTTTGCAACTTGTACATGGTCCCTGTCTAGAACTGTAGAAATTATCTAATGGTTGAAGGTTCCTAAGGATGTCGGTGGTAAATGGAGTCCTTCCCCTATTCAGCTGATGCTGAAGTAAATAGTTCTGTGATTTTCCCAGAAGCAATTATCTAGAGAATTTCAGTCTGAGAGACCAGAAGCTGCTGTTCTTGGTAACAACCTCCTTTCTGCTGCCAGCGAAGATTCGTTCTTTGCTTTGATCTTCTTGACCTTGCCTCTGCTCTTGACAGTGCCTGTCCATCAAGCCCTTTATTCAGTGAGTCAGATAGACTTTAAAAATCCCTCTAGCTATCCTGAGTTAGACCCCATCCCATCATATCCCATACCCTCCCAGCTATTATTATTTTTCCTTTTAAGGTCTCTTTTTTACACCCAGACATACCTTCAACCTAAAAGTTCAGTGATTCATCTTCTCTCCTGGGAAGTCCGTGGTCTAGTCCAAGTTCACTTCTTACCTCTGCTTCTTTCCCTCCACCTTTTCCCTTAGCTTTTGACATAAGGTCGTGGAGCTGGTTTTTGCCTGTCTACCATCCTTTCCTTTCCTCCTACTGCGGACTTTTATCACTCGCCTTTTGGTTATACATGATTTTCTCTTTCCATCTCTTCCTCCTTTGACTATAATATATCTGCAATACACCTGTTTACTAGAAGAAAGTAACCCCCTTAAAATACCCTCACACTCCTTATTGAACCACTTGCTCCTCTTTGTGCTTTATCTCTCATTTTACTTTAAGCTTACAACTACGTTTCTAAGTTTTCTCTTTCCTTTGCTCCTGTGAGACATGTTGACTTGGGTCGTTAACTGTCAACTGCCGTCCAGCTCAGCACCCTCTTGCCTTCCTTTGCTCAGCTTGTATTTTCCTTACACACATACACCATATCAAGGATTTAATTTGTTTTAATTCTGAAACATGTTCCTTAACACACAATACTAGAAAACTTTTTCAATATACACACCAACTAATTAATAACTTTACTTCCCCTCTGTTTTGTTCTTGGATTCCATATTTATAACAAATGTGTCTCTTTTTTCTACAGTTATTTTCATATTAACTAGCTTTATTTCATGCCTCAAAGTAAGTATTTTAGACATTGTCAACTACTTCTGTCTATGATAATTCAGTTTCTTCTTGTGCCACAACTATTAAAGTTTCTCTCTAGCTTTTTCTAAATTTAAAAAATCAGTTGTTTAAAGAATTTTCATAATGCTTAAAATATAATTAAATTGTCAATAACATGACTTCAATATATTTTTATTACCAACTAAAGTCAAAGAAAACAAAGATAAATTTATATTTGAGTTACCTAAAAACTGAAGATTTTTATATATAAGCAAGTGATTTTCTATTTTCTTTGGAATTTCCCATTCTTCATCTTTACTTTTTCTGGATATATTGTGTTCTCTTCCTTTTTATAGCTAATTTCTTGGGATTTAATAATAAGAATTAAGAATCATTTGGATTCTCTTTGGTTTGACATATAGTCTTTAAAAATTCTTAATTTTATTAGTTAAGATTTACTTATAATGGCATTGCCTTCAATTATTGTTTATTTTAGTTTTACACAGGACTCAGTTATAGGTTATTGGGAGTTATATGACTAAGCAATGCTTACTTTTTCATTCTAAAAATGACATGATTTTATGATTTATTTAAATGTCGTGTCTATTTTTGTTCAGAAGGCAAATGGATTTTATTGTTGAGCCGAAGCAATTCAATCATATTTAATGACAATTTGGGAAATGGTTTCTGTTTTATAAGATTGCCAAGATAAGAGTGGTAAAAAATAGAAAGGACTCTAATCAAGCATTTTTTTAAAGTTTGCTCAAAACTTCAAGTCATTAATTTTTCTTCTACAATGGTAGCAAAGACTCATAAATTTTTCCAGATATAAAGTAGGGTTAGTCTTTTCAAGAATGTCTGAATTAAATGTTTCTGCACGTCTCTTTCACTTTAGAAACCCCTAGGAATTATGGAAATACAGGAGTTAAAATTAGTCACTTACAATTTTAATAATATATTCACAATTGTATCAATTATGATTTTTTGAAATTTCATTTGTGATTACTTTTTCATGTTTTTTTTTTCTCGAATGTTTTCAAAATATTTTTAGGACAACTTAGGGGCTTTTGGCTGGTTATATATAGTAATTACCTGAGTATAGTTTAATCTTTCCATAAATGAAGAAATGAAAATAAAAATAGCCTTGCTATCATCTTTTCCCTGAATATAGAATAAGAGTTATGTTACTGTGTGAAGTTAGCAATCATATACTGAATATATTCTGGAACCAGTAGTACTTGGAAATTTTTATATTATCCCACTTATTGTTTGTATGTTGAATTACATTTCATGTTATTTGTGTATATGCATTCACCTTGTGCTTTTGGTGCTTGTTAAAATGTTTATTCCATTTTCCAGATTATTCCTCTCACCATTCTGTTTCTGAATGACAAAGAAACACATAAGTATTGACTTCAACCAAACCTAAGCACTGGAACGGAGGGACTCTGCTGCCCTGGGATTTTGCATAATTAGAATGATCATTCCTATTGTCTTGAAATGGCACATAGATATTCCCTCCATAATAGTTTTCCCCCAAGACTAAGAATTTTCTAGCTGTTTTGTTTTGAATAAACTATTTGGTGAAACAGTGCAGGGCGTATGTGGTTCCCAGGGACTGAAACATGAACCCAAATTCTACCATCCTAGTAACTGGAAAACTTGTTTTTAAGAAAGCCAGCAAGTTAGACATCTAGGTGTTTCTTTCCCATTTTAGATGGAGATGTAACAGTTAACTTTGAAAATTCAAACGGGCACATGATACCCATCGGAGAGGAATCTACCCGAGAGGAAAATGTAGTAATACCTGAAGAAGGTAATGGCTCTGTATCTGAAAAAACACCACCTCTGGAGGAAAAGGCAGAAGATAAGAAAGGTAAAACAAAGAGTAACCCATATTATTTACTTTAGTATAGCTTAATGTCTAGAACCAGCACTTAGGTTCCAAATAGTGACTCTAAAACCAGCAGTCTGCAGAGGAAAGGTTTACAAATACAAAAAAGAAAGAAATGATGACTAGTAAAGTGAAATAGGATTATTTTCTCAGGTAGATGCATTCATTTTATAAACACAGTATTTGATTTTTTAAATTATTAAGAAATGTTAATTAAAAGTAATAACCAGAAGGGGTGACCTCTTTAATCATTAGAGGTATCTGGAAAAACTATTCTTTTCTTGGGAGCTTTGTCTCAAGATCGTAATGAAAGTGAGAAATATGAACATCTTTCACTGCTGGTTACAACTGGCCCCATGAGCAGTTCAGCATGGACGAATACCAAAACCCACATGGCTTGTTCAGCCCAGCACTCTCTCTAGCAGTGGGAACTTGGCTGGTGGCATTCACATATCCAGTATTGTAGGTTCCAGATATTTCTGAGAGAGACCCAGGAATAATTCCCAGAGGTGCCATGGACTGTGGTTGCTCTGCTGGCTGATTCCCACAGCCTCTGTGCAGCTGGAAATTTCAAAATATGCCAGAGGCAATTATGGTATTCCCAGAAGACTTCTTTAGAGACCTTGATTCCTGGAGTGAATTTGCTACGGTAGATTGAGATACCTTCAAAATACATGTCTATCAGGGACTCCCAGAACATTCACAAATTCCTGGTCATGGATTGATAACATCTCAATACTACTGCTGTGATGTGTAGACACCTCCAAACATGAAATGAAACTTCCATAAGGAAAGGTTTTTGGGGGAGATTCCAGATGCCTCCTTGCAGCATAGAAAGGAATCCTTAGGAAACATACTATTTCCTGTTTTGTAATGTCTGTCTCTAAGTTGAATGGTAAAATTTTGTCAAACCTAATGTGTGTTCTATGGGCAGTTTGAATGTTTAGAAACTGATGAAAGTGAAATTTCTTCCTCTGTTCTTGACCCAGATCCTTGAGAGACAAAGGAAAAAAAGAGTATTTGATGAGCTATTAAACACACCATTGTAACTTAAAATCGTCTGCTCTGAAAGTTCATAACCATCCATTAGTTGCATATATATTAGTCTTTAAAAGTTTTAGAAGCCTGTGTTAATAATCTGTTGGAAATTTATTATTTTGCTTTATTTCAAGGGCTTTATCTAGCCTTATTCTATTGAACATTGACTCTGGTTAAGCTTATGAACACAAATTATGAAATACTTTTAATGATAATATTCCTGGAACATAAAAAGAAAGTAGTCTTAAGTAAATTTTAGTGGGATTTGGTTGAAAGTATTAAGGCAAGTAGTGATGTTTTTTGTTTAAGTCTTACCGTCCTGTCTCGCCAGACTGTTGAATTTCAAATCCATCTGTGGTTTGTCCCTGGCAGCCTTTTCACATCTAAGAATCACATCCTGCATTACATAACAGTGCCATCTCTGGTGCCTGTTTGGTGTGGGGTATTCGTCACTAGACTGGCCAGACATCAAAAGAAGTGTTTCCCTTATCAACATCATAAAAACTTGCTGACAGTTTTATATGAATTAACCAACAGACCTTGATGTTCTAGAAAGAAGATAGCAGATCTTATGGGTCCATGAATAGTTGAGAAGTGTTTTTCTTTACTTGGAATTAGGACATTCCCTTCTTTCTTGTCTGATAAGGTCCCAGAGAGCCTCTTGCTTGGTCAGTAAGTACATGAGGAAGGAGCTGGGAGTGCTGGATGCTACATACCACTAAGAGGTAGTGTGGCTGTCTCCCGTGTGGACAGCGCACACACCAAAGCCACAAGGGGAAGCACTCGGTATAGAAGCCACTTCCTGAGACTGAAAAGAATGTCACGTATAACTATTATTCCAGTGTATTACGTTAATTAGAAAATGCCTTATGGCAAAGGTAATAATTTACTTCTCTAGAAAAACACGTTTGTTAATTCTGAAGGCCACTTCACTTCTACCTCTGCTCCTCTTCTGGTCTCACTGCTTGTGTTAGCTCACTACCATGCCAACCCCACCATCCCACGATCTTAATTTGCTCTTTATTTTGGGATACAGTGCTCCCTTTCCTTCTGCATGAAGCCAGCTTAATCAAGAGCATTAAATCATCTATTTGGTTCTATTTGCCAAACCATATCACCTGCCTTTACAGCTCTAGATGTGTATTATATCTCTTCATAAGACAGTATCTCAATACTTTAATATTTGAAACATCACCATCCAAGAAAGCAAAACAAATGGCACGTGGTGTCCTTCATGCTTGCTCTGTGAGTAGCTTCCACCCAGGCCCTCTGGGCATTTCTGGCGCTCCTGAAGGGACCTAATTCTGTAGTTGGTACAGTGCTCTTGGGCCTCCTCTGCCTAATACTAAAGGCTTCTTCCTTGAGGTCTTCAGGGCTCTTGGTCTCTCATTATTCTTTCTCAGTAAGTGCCTTTAAATTTATAAGAGCAGAAAAACTGACTTCCTCCCTGTTAAATAAAGCTTGGTATAAATATCAGAAATCTTATGGCCAAGCGCGGTGGCTCACTCCTGTAATACCAGCACTTTGGGAGGCTGAGGCAGGTGGATCACCTGAAGTCAGGAGTTTGATACCAGGCAAAACCCCATCTCTACTAAAAATACAAAAAATAGCCAGATGTGATGGCGGGTGCCTGTAATCCCAGCTATTCTGGAGGCTGAGGCAGGTAGAATCACTTGAGCCCAGGAGGCGGAGGTTGAAGTGAGCTGAGGTGGCCCCATTGCACTCCAGCTTGGGTGACAGCCAGTCTCAAAAAAAAGAAAGAAAGAAATCTTATAAGAATTCTTCTGAAATCTTATAAGTATCTTATAAGAAATCTTGCTTGATATTATTTTTATTAATTTATTGTAAAAAAAATCTTCAGTAAAGTAACAAGTGATGAATACTTACTTGTTCCACAAATAATGAAGGTCTCCCATGGGTGACACTCTACTGGGGGCCAGGAAAAGAGTAGTGAATGAAAAATGGCCTTTGCCTGAAGCAGAGTGTGGCCTTGAGGAGACCAGAATGCAAACGAGCAATTGCAACGCAAGATGCGAAGTACCATGGAAGGCCTGAGCACTGCAACCCGAGGGAGTTCAGAGCAAGAGCCAACACTGGTTCTCAGACGAAGATATTTACAAACTAAGATATGAAGGAAACAAGAAGGAGATAGTCAAGTGAGGCAGAGGAATTGGATCAGAATTGCATTCTAGGCAGGGCGAAGACCACATGCAGTCCCAGGCTTGTTCTAAGTGTCGTTGAGCTCAAACCTTCCAGTGGCCAAAGGAGCCAACCCTGGAGGTTTGGGAAACAGCTTGTTTTCCAGACCACATTGCTCAAAAGCCTAGCATCCTTATCAAGCCAGAATGACTAGGCAGCCCTTTCTTAACCTTCTCTTGAAATGATAATACTCCTATATACCATCAGTTTATATCATGTCTTCAGATCACATGGTAAGTGTAAAGAATCCAACTTGACTTTATTCATTACCTCCCAGGTGCAACTAAAGCATCTGTCTTCTACTGATGTGTGTGTCGATAACTATTAGACAGTCAGTCCCATTCATAGAATAGACAAAGTGTTTAAAGCATTGTGTTCGATGGGAATTTAAATTTCAGACAAAAGTAGTTTATAATTCAGTCAAAAAATTATACTATTTGCATACTCATATGCACACACCACACACACACACACACACACACACACACACACACACAACTTAATAATCACCAGAATGACAAATGTTCACACATAGTTGGTAGAGTTTGAAGTCAAGAGGAGTGGATCATGTTTTCCAAGGCTCCAGGAGAAACTCTGTTTGCGGTATGTTCATTTTCTGCCCACGAGGTCTTGTCATTGCCAACCGATATGGTGAACCGTCTCCTCCTTCCCAAACCCAGAACCTGGATTCCTTCCGGTACACCGTTAGAATTTTAAACCTTAGGCAGAAAGAAAAAATGTCCCTCAGTGACATGCTATGAATGGAGAGTATAAAACACGTGTAGAGTCAGTGGTATACAAGAGAAATTAAGGTGCCATGTGTTACAGATCAGTTTGACTTTCACCATGGAGGATGCTATTGAGCTTAGTCTCCACACTTTATGGTATTATGCTGAGGACTAAAGTTACAAAGATGTATTTAAAGAACAGGCTTTAGTAATATTTCAGAAGATTGACAAGTTAATGTATATTTATATATTTTAAGCTAAATGTTACAGGTGTGTATCCACTTGTATCATTCTCAAACCTAACTGACTTTTGTGATTGACTTGACTGGTTAAGACCTGCTGAGATAAGAGGGCCGCTACTATTAATACAGTATATATGATACTCAGCTTAGTTGAGGAGACAAGATGTATAAACAGAAAGGCAAAAATACAAACTAGCTGCTGATAGATGTTGAGTAAATGGCTCACACAATAAGCCTGAGTAAGTTCAGAGGTAGGAGAGGTCAACTTGGGCTGTGGTGACAGGAGAGGATTTTGTGGCTGAGGCAGAATCAAAGGTGAACTTTAAAAGAAAAACTTTATTGATTACCTACTGGAACTTAAGTCATCATATGGTAATTATATATGTAGATTGATGGGGAATGTGGTCAAAAAAAAGAGAAGTCCATCCTTCACACTCAGGACAAGAAACAAAATAATAGAAATAATAATAAAACGCAATATATCCCAGTATTAAAACCCTTTTTTGATCATTCAGTAATGGGAGGACAGATTTGGCTAAGGTTCGATCTTGTCTTAACACTGTCTTATGTTTTGTACTGTGCCCCTTTTATAAGAAAATGCTACTTAGCTCTTTGGACCAGAATGATATTTTAGTTTAATTCTCATCAGCCACTATTAGAAAGAATATAGATGTGAATATGTGAATGAACCTTCAGCATCTCCACTATCTTTCAGTAACGGGAGACTAATAGTCTTTCTCCTCTAGTTACACAAAACCTTGTGAGAAGCTGCTGT